GGGGGGTAAATTACCCCCCCTCCCCGCCACCCCGTGGGCATTTGATCTGGAGAGATGCTCGGCTTTTTCCCGACGTGCTCCCGCCTAATCCCGTGGTAGGGCCAGCTGGCACCGGGATGGACGGGAAGCCTGGGGGGCTGCCACGGGGGATGCCCGACCTGCCGAGCATCAAAGCACCCCGGGGCTGAACAGAGCCGTCGCAAGCTCATGCGTGGCAGCACCGGCGTCACCAGTGGCTTGGGGCATTCAGGATGCAGGAGGCACCGGATAAGAAAAGAGGGAGCGTGGGGATGAGCATCCTTCCCAGGCAGGGGCTGCAGGGCTCGGCATGGTCTGCTCCTGCACCCGGCCAAAGCCGTCATGGTTATGGCCATGTCTGGGGTCCGGGCAGAAGGGGGGTGCCCACAGCTGGCAGCGCGGGTCAGTGAGCAAATGCTGTGCTGAGCATGGGGAACGGCACCTTGAAACGGGGCTGCAGGAGCCTTCGGGCCGGCGGAGCCCAAGCTGGAGCAAAGAGAGGAGAGCTCGGCTCTGGTCCCCAAACGGCCACTGTGCCACTGTCTTTCTGGATCCCCACCAGGGATCCCCGCCGGTCCATGGTCCCTGCGGCTCATCTGGCAGCCCCGCGCGATGGAAAACCTGCCGCCTGCTCACAGGCTGAGGAATCGCCACCGGCTCATTCTCCCTCCGTGGCTCTTTGATCCATTTTGGGCATCTCTCCAGCCACACAGGACAGGTGGAGGGGGAGGCCAGGGACCGGGTCACCGCAGGGGGACCAGCGGCCACCTGCCCTGGGCAGTGGGACAGGGTCTACGGCAGTGGCAGGGACAGACGCTGCTCCCTCCCCTCACCCGGCACGTCGCTGCTCTCTGCCTTTCCCTCTCCAGACACTTTTATGGCTGGTGAAACGTGAGCGCTGGAGAGGCTCAGAGCAGCAGCAGTCACTGCTGGGGAGAGGGACGGGAAACCTCCTGGGGACGGAGACCTCGGGGCAGGACGTGGCAGCGTGCAACGAGCCGGATGGTGAAAGCATCCCCGGGTCGGTCCCGAGGTTGGCGCAGCCTGATCGCTACCAGCAAACCGGCTTCGAGCTGACTTTTCGCAGGCACTGCCTGCCTGCTCGCCGGTGTTCGGGACCTGCCCCGGAGAAAGCGGCAGCAGGCAGCCAAGCTGCGAGAGGAGCAGGCGGGGGCACGGAGTGGGGAGCCCAGCGCCTGGACAGGCAATGCACTGCTCGCATCCAGCTCTGCCACCGCTTCCCAGCATGCAGCATG